CCCGGGATCGAACCCGGGCCGCCGCGCTGCGAAGCCAGCGACTATCCGCTTGAGCTATGGCGCGGCCTCAGCTCAGGCAGTTAGTCACCGGCTTCGCACCGCGGCGGCCCGGGTTCGGTCCAAGGTCAGATCATGTGGGATTTGTGGTGGATACAGTGGCGCTGGGGCAGGTTTTCTCCGTGTACTTCAGTCTCCCCTGCCAATTCTTATTCCACCTACTGCTTCACAATGAGTCATCATCCGAGGATGTTACAATAGGCCAAATAGTGGCTGACGTATCAAGTGGACTCGGTCTCACACCACCCCAAGAAATAGTAAAAAATATATTGTCTGAGCCTTACGGCAGCATGTCCTTCCCGTGAAACTATCAGTTGCTCGGTTAGGTTAAGAATTTGAGACTGAAGGTTTATTACTTACAGCGTTCACAGGAGCTCATCTCTTCGCAATCAGGCAAATCCAGTCAGCACTATCATATCATCTTTATTTGAGATCTATTTTAATATTATTCTTCGATATCAGCTGGATTTCCAAATTAGTCTCCCCTCTTTAAGTTTCCAAACAAAACTCTGTATGCATTTCTCATCCCACTCTAATAATATCTGATGACGGGGAAAACTGTGAAGCTTCTTATCACACCGTTTCTTCAGCCTCTTACTGCTCTGTCTTCCTTACGTCCAAAGGTTCTCAGTTTCAGGCAACGAACGTTCATGAAATTTGACGTTGAAAATTCTTATTAAATTTAAAAATAAAACAACACCATTCAATCGTGTGGATCAAATTATTTTCCATTTTTATCTAGGACTCAATTTGTTTTAAACAAGTCACAGAACTTTCGCCTTTCCGAAATACTTGGCACAGATTTTAAGTTTAACTTAATTTACAGCAATATGTATATCTTTGTTTCTTTCTGCGAGGTTAGTCACACGCATTTCATACAATGAACTATTTTGTATCTGTGAAATAGTTTTGCAAAATAACTATCGATATGTCATACAACAAGAATATGTTAGTTGTGGTAAACTGCTTTTACTATAATAGTTCTTCTTATTTCACGTAATTGAATTTTATTAGTATTATGAACTACATTTGTGATTGAAGAAAGTCGTCTTCTGGGTTTTGGCCCTGTGTATTCTTCGTTTTGGCCGACGTTCCTCCGAAACGTCGGCCAAAACGAATACACGGCGCCAAAACCCAGAAGACGCCTTTCTTCATAGTCATCGCCGTGAAAACCTCAAAACTTACATACATTTGTGATTATTTACAATACTGGCGTCCATCTTACGTCATTCTAACATCGGCTGTCTCATCGGACCTGATTTTACTTTGAGAGTAACGTTTCTTTCATCAAGGCAGTCATATGAGTGCGCTGTTCTACAAAACTCCCCAATTTCTTATGTTTTACTTGCGATGTATCAAAGTTAATTAGCAAACGGTGGACTGAACATATTAGCAGGAAGAGAGAAACAAGTAATGTGCACGGAATTTTAGTGGTGAAATCTTGTTGGATGAAGACGCGGTCGGTAGGAAAGTACTAGAATGCATCTTACTTACACGAACAGAATTCGCTGGTTTTGCATAGCGTCATGAGAAATATGAAGCAGTTCTTAAACAGCGACACGGAATAAAACGATTAGTTCTTGAAAGGGAACTGTGATGAGCACAGTGCAGGTTTAATGCACGCAGCCGAACTAGTTCATCAAGAATCAACGCTCTAGAATTGTATGAGGGAGGTGTTTGGATTGAGCCTCGACTGAGCCGTCGGTTATACTGTATAAGGTTTATCGTTGTTTTCTATAGTCCCTCGGTGCAAATTTCCAGGATAATACGTCACGTTAGGTCAGGATTAATTCCATCTAGAACCTTCATAATTCATCACTTTTCTACTATTCAACACTGAACTTCCTCCATGCTCAAAGCATTCGTGGCCTGATCCAGGCACTATCTCATCATTTGCTTGGAAAGGCTGAGAAAAATCACGAAAACCTCCGTCAGGATAGCCAGTGTTCCAGCTCTGAATCGAACTGAGAGCCTATCGGATGCAAGTCTCGTGCGCTGTCTCTACACCAACCTGATAAATATACTAAACATTTTTCTGCGAAGTGAGCAGTTTTGGTGAAAGATCTGGAGTAAGAAACAAGAACAATCTTTGCCTTACAGCTTTGATGAGTATTAATTCAAACAGAACTACAGTGACATGTACTGACATGTACTGTCAGTATGGCATCGTAGCTGTACATAACGGTTTCACTGATTTGATGTAAACATGGAATACAAAGATTCAAAATCAAATGTCATACGTTCCTAACATCCATATATCAACTTGAGAGGTTAATTAGGTCCCGTGTCATGGCGAAACAATTTTTATTTATGATATGGACTGATTCATAGGCCATTAGAGCATTATGTTAGTGAAGTGCATATGGATCTACAGCGCCAAGTAGGAGCGGAATTTCTTCGCAAGTAGGTAAGGATATGAAAGAAGGCAGCTGTGGGATATTTAAAGCAGTATCCTCCAGTTAACCAGAAAGTGCAAAAGTAATTTCAAAGAGAATAGCAACGACACCTGCCGAGATTCAAAATGCGTTCTCAGTCTACGATTCAGTAAAAAATGAAATAGTCGTTACCTGTTTGAAGATGTTACATACCTCTGAATTTCTTTGGAAGGAGGCACGAAAATTAGGAAAATCTATGTAAGATTTGAGGCTTTCACGGCGGTGACTATGAAGAAAGCAGTCTTCTGGGATTTGGCACCGTGTATATGTGGTGTTAACCGACGTTTCGGAGGAACATATCGCCCCCATCTTCAGGGTTGAAGAAGTATAGGTAAATCTGCAAGCGACAACACCGTGAGACACGGTCAAGCAGACTGCTTGACGTATTTACCAATATCGTCATTAATATCTGTGTTGTGTTAATGGCGTCAGAGCTTTTCACTGGCGATCTACTGGCTTAAGGTGGGATTTTGTTTATTTGTATGTAATAACAGACAGACCATAATAAATTCTCTACGGTCCATAGAGTTGATGAATCAGTTAACCAAATATGTGATCACATAACAAAAATTTCAAAGCGGCCCACACTCTCAATATGACCAATTTCTTGGTAACCGGTACACTAGTGCATATTACGATTCAGCAAGTCCCTTCCAGGCACACTTGAAGGCGTGCATTTTGGAAATAATTAGCGGAAAGAATACATATATACGTACGTACTTCTCAAGAGACCTACTGAAAGTAAACTTGAGAAACTCACGTGGCTCGCTACCAATTGTAATATATACTGACACGGACTTGTCAGCCTCAGAAGTAAAGCATTAACTCGGATATCACAGTACAAAGAAGTAAATCACTTCCTAAAATTGGCATTGGCCCATATTCACAGCGGATTCACAATTAGAAAGTCTGGAAATATAACCATTTTGTGATAAGAAGTGTGCACCGACAAAACGCGAAGGAACATATCATTCAACTGAGACAAATAAGACGCATTCAGGAATAACGTCACAGCTATCAATAAACGTATATTAGCTGTTTTTTCAATGTTCTTATTAACCATTAAAAAATTTATTGTGGAAACCTTTCTTTGATTTCAAGTACCTGACAAAGTAAGACAATTCGTGAAAAATCTATCTGTAAAACGTTCATCTGAAATCAGATGATAAAACAGAGAATGAAGGGAGTATGAGCTAGGATGGAATTAAGGCGGGATCCATATTTGTCGAATTGTTTTCTGCTTTTCGTTATTCCGGTACTTTGCCTGTCGTATTTTAGTATCCACAGCTGCATTTTCAGTCTATGTAGTTATTGTATTGTTAACTCGTATGAAACGAGATAGGTTATTACTGAGTTAAACTAGGTAGATATGATTTCATAATTATAAATTGGAATATAATTAGTGATGAAACCAATATTTCTAATTTGAAATTAGGGCACAATATACCAACTTGATGAATACGGTAATATTAATAAATATTGAAATTGGGTACAATAACGAGGAATTGTAACGGGTGGTGTAAAGATCCAGTCTCCTTGCGTCGCATTGGGGTGAGTGTTGATGAAATCTTGAGCCGTGGATGAGTATGGGGCTTTCGAAGCCTGTTTCGTTGTAGCCCTAGTTTTCACATAATTACCTAACTGCCACTTTCATATACATGGTCCATGAGACTAATGAGGTAGGATGCTGTGAAATGTATTTGGACTGAGGAGAGAGCAAGTATCAAGAAGGTGGGAACAAATAACAGAGTGAGATCCTAAATTGTAAAGTAAATTTGCCCCTGGGCTTACTTGATTAAGCAGTATGGCATGAAGATCTGTGAGGGAGTGGAGGTATAGCTCCATCATTCTTGACGGCATTAGATGGAGGCGAGTGGTCAGCTCCACACCCCGGCCGGTTTATTCACAGGAAATCCGCATACCCGGTCTGTAAGCTGTGGAGAAGAATAAAGTTTTCCCCTGTCAGGAAGAAAAATC